CGGAAGTATGTTTGTTTTTATTATTATTATTTCTATTATTATTTCTTTGTTTGTTTGTTGAAGATTTTTAGTTATAATACCTGTTGCTATTGTTGTTGTGAGAATGATCGTTGCTGTTTCATGGTCTATGCCGTGTATAAAACATCATAAACAAACGAATTTCAATAACTTTGGTTATTTTAAACTTTTTAGCGGCCACCGTCTCGACCACAACAACCACACCACCAAGTGAGTTATCGCCAGTTATTTATTCACTGTTCTTTCGTTCGTGCGTTCGTCCTTAGAGCGTCTTCATCTGCACAGGCAGACATGCAGACGTTCTTGCAAACATAAACTCCCCTACACAAAAGCATTGTGTAAATAATTTTTATTAGGAATCAACAAGAACAAAAGTACTCTTAACAAACTGTTTAAAAATTTGGTCAACCAGAAAAATTATTAAAAATTACTATGCCAATACTGATTGACATGAAAAAATACCATTTGTTTTAAATACTCAATGATGATGCCCAGTCAAGTACTTCAAATAATAAAACAACATAAAGATCCAGGAAGGAACAATAAGTAAAATTCTGACCACATTACCAAAAAGTTGGTTCTCTTGTAAAAATGTCGGCTCCCTTAGTGAAAATTAAAACATTTTTCCAAAAATGTGTGACAATTTTTTTCCGATCGTCAACTAAATTTTTTTAAATTTGAAAATTTCTCCAACTCCAGTCGTCAAATAATTTATTTTTGAAAACCTTGGCCCTCTCATCAAAGTTTTTTTAGATCAGCCACTGCACATTTTTACGTATTTAATAATAAGATCGTTCCAACTTTCCTTCATGAGCAGGTGACTGTTGGGCCGCCAGACTGTCCTACCAATATGTTGGTCTCAGTCTACAGAATGGAGTCTCCACGCTGCCAGCTTGTAAGGCCGTTTGTGAGAAGTACGTGGTGGTGTGTTGTTGTGTGGTTGTTGTCGTAGTTGTGGTGTGTTGTTGTTGCTGTTTTGGTATGTTGTTGTGGTGTGTTGTTGTTGTGGTGGTGTGTTGTTGTGGTGGTGTGTTGTTGTGTGATGTGTTGTTGTTGGAATGGTGTGTTGTTGTTGTTGTTGTGGTATGTTAATGTGGTGTGTTGTTGTGTGGTGCGTTTCTGTGGTGGTGTGTTGTTTTGATTGCGTGCTGTGTTTTTGATGGCGCTTGTTGAGTTGATAGGAAATGAAGGAAACAACCGTTTCTGTTTCCTGTTTATGTGCTGTCTAAGAAGAATGCCCCGCTTTTTGGTGCAAGAGGGTCATAAATTGAGTGACACTGTCACAAGGGATTAACAACAATATTTATACAATTAAAATTACAACAATTATTTATTAATGAAACCACAAACGTTGACAACACCAGCCTGGCCACTTGTGTCCTCATAAACCTAGACTCCAGCGTCAGCCCTCCGACATGCTGGGTGCAGGAAACAGGCGGCCTCAACAACATCACTAACGACAACTTTCTGCCAAATGCCGCCGTCACCAGCTTCCAATTTAATCGGACCTGTCGCGCCCTCGTATCCGGTCTGGCTTCTCATTATTTCTTATTACTAATAAAAGCCAACGATTATAAGCTATTATACCCTGCAATACTACATAAGCGAGGTTTTGTTTGCAAACTATGATTAGTTAATTTTCTGAAATGGCGTGGAACATCTTGGTTCATTGGTTTAATCAAAAAATTTAGTTATTATAAAGAAGCAACATTAAACATTAAACAAATGTTCAAATTTTAAGCGAGAAATAATAATATATAAAAAATGTCTTCCTACAGTATAATATTAAAAATTCAACAATGACCAACGACAGAGTTGTGTTGGAGCGCCAGTCAGAACACTCGCTACATCGGACTGACTCAACAGACGACCATTTCAACGGAGCAATCGTGCAAGAACTACTGCGCCAGTCTGCCATTCTGCGTCCTCGTTGACCTCGACTCCAACACCTCACCCTCAACTTGCTGGGTTCAAGCCACGGGGGGTACCAACGATGTCAATCAGAACAACTTCATCCCCACAAACTTCATCAATAACTATCGTTTGAACAGGACTTGTTTGGCGGTTGTTTCACCGAATGGTCAGTGAGGATGAATGCCTTCACTATTCCTTCTTCACTTTTCAAAAATATCAGAACTTTCATTTCATTTGAAACCATATTTAATTTTTGGATTTTTGATAATGAATACTTCAAAAACATAAAATGATAGGACACGACTATTTCCCATTATTTTTTAATCACAAATTTATCAAATTATATTTTTCCGAATGGTTAACTTTCCAATGATGTGTTCTATGTAAAACAGTTACAACATTAACGACGAGTACAACGACATCTGGTGGTGTTCCAAGGACCACATCAGCCGTGGTTACCCCAGGTTAATAGCAAACCAAGCTTCAATACATGTTGTGTGTTGGTTTCTTCATGCTTCAAATAATTTTGTTCATCATTCTGGTGATAAAATCACCTGTAAAAGTTCTCCGTATATAAAAACAATTAATCATAGAACTATTGAAAGATAAATATAAATAAATTGTAATTTTTAACTAATCGGAAACATTTCGTTACAAAGTTGCCAAAATGCTTCCAAACACTCACAGGCAACTGCTGGACGGTTAGAAATCAGACACAATATTTCGGCCTGACTCAGCAAAGCAACGTCCTCACGGTGACAGCATGTTTGGACATCTGTGCCAGGACCCCTGCTTGCCTCATCGTCAACTTTGACACTTCCACTGCCCCCTCCACCTGCTGGATTCAAACAACAAGTGGCCCCCTGGTGCAGAGTAGCTTCCAGGAACAACCCTTTGTAACCAGTTTTATTCTGGATAGAAACTGTTTGGCTCAGATAACATCGACAACAACAAGTTCGCACAATGGATAATTTTAGAATTCAATATTTTACAAAAATTTTATTTTATAAAATTTATTATTTGTAGAATATGTATAAATTAAATTTTGTAGTTAATAAATACAATTCTAAGATAATTCAATTAATAATTCATTAAAATATTGTTGATTGTTAGTTAATCCACCTACATTAAAGGTTTAACACAAACGACGACAACTCAAACATCTCCTCTCCTACTTGCATGTTGGACCGCCTACAACCGCACACTATATATTGGATTGGAACAATCTGGCATCACAAATCTAAACGATTGCCTTCTTCGTTGTCAAACTTTGAGTCAGTGCTTCATTGCCGATTTTGATCTCGCTACCAATCCACCTTGTTGGCTAAAAACCGATTCGAGTCCATTTAATTCAAGCAACGTTATTACCGGTGTTGACGGAATTACGGACTACCGACTGAACAGGTCGTGTTTGTCCAGAGGTGGATTCTGTTGGAATCGATACCCCAACACTAGATACCTCGGACTTCAAAACGTAAACTACAACACTGTAGACGACTGCAAAAACTATTGTTTCAGCCAAGCAAATTGTTTCATTATGAATTTCGACACGTCAACATCACCCCCCTGCTGGGTTCAAGCCGATGGAACGTTCGATCCTCAGAACACATTGACCAATCAACCAACAGTGGATGGTTATAAGTTGGAACAAAACTGCACGATTCCAAGTCAGTTTGTTACTTGATAAATTTTTTGCTTAATCTAAGCAATTTTGACAATGTATTTTATCGATTAAATGCATCGAACTAATAATTTCACTACAAACAATTTTTGTAAATACAGGCAACAAATCCAATCTTTGCTGGTTTGACTATCCGCAAACAAGATCTATCGGGCTAACCAATGTAAACTATTACACGCTAGAACAATGTAGACAGTTCTGTCAGAACTCAGCAGTGTGTTACGTTTTCGATTACGATGTTGGCACGACACCTCCTTGCTGGGTACAGACAGAAATCGGCTTCAATCCCAATAACCTGCAAACAAATGTTCCATCCGTAACACATTACAGACTGCAATTTTGTACTGGAAGCACATCTACAACAGGTAAATGAAAATAATAACACAATAAAAACAACAATAATCTGGAGATAATAATTTTAATAATTATCTTCAATAAATATATTCGAGTCCTTTCGCTTTTCAGTGTCCGTACCGATGACCGTCATACCAAAGTTGAGATTCTGTTGGAACACATACGCACAATCTCGTTACATTGGCCTACAACAAGTCAATTTCTACGACATCAAATCCTGCCAGGACTATTGTTTCAACTTGGCAGCATGTTACATAATGGACTTTGATACAAATTCGCAGCCTCCGTGCTGGGTTCAGACTTCTGGAACCTTCGATTCGAATTTCGTTATTACTAATCAACCAACAGTCACTAATTTCCGACTGGAGACCTGTCCTAATGTTACAAGTGAGAGTCTTGTAGCGAATTTTGTCATTTTTTCAAATGCTAAATAATGTTGATGTAAATAAAAAAAAACTTCAACTAAAGTTTAAACATTATTTTAAATTTTGAAACTACAAGATAGAAAGGGAGAGATTTAGTTTTTGAATTAAGTTGCAGAGCACAGATATATAATTTAGGAAGAACAAATTATAACCCACTATAATAAAATTAAATATTATTATATATAATAGAATATAAAATTAAATTAAACATTAATATAAATTGAATATGAATGGAAAAAAAGAACATAAATAAACATTTATTTAAAAATTTAAATCACGACATTACAACAAGGCAAAACACAAACAAACAAACGAACGAACAACATTACAGCATCTGTACGAACAATCTTACCGGCGAAATCTTCCCTTTGTTGGAAATCGTACCAACAAACTCGCTACATTGGCTTGCAGCAGATCAGTCTCAACACCATCACCGAATGTCAAAATTATTGTTTCAACGAAGTTGCATGTTACGTAATGGACTTCGATATAAGTAGCAGGCCTCCGTGCTGGGTTCAGACAGGTGGAACCTTCGACTTTAATAACGTAGTACCCAACCAGCCCAATGTTACTAACCTAAGGCTGGAGACGTGCACAACTGCGTCGAGTAAGTGTAACCCACATTTCGTAAATTAAAAATACCTCAATTATTAAAACATGTCAAAATTGATTTTGTTTGGTTTTTTGAGAAAACAGAGTTGTAAGTTTGTAAGTTTATTATGTCTGTTTGTTTATAATGCTGTTTTAAACACAAGCTCACTAATTTTTGAAGTGAAAATATTTTTCGAGCAATGATGCAAGTTATATCAGGACAAAATTTAGTTCAAAAACATAAGCAGTTGTTAAGGCATCACTGATTAGTAATTGTTTCTCAAATTTATATGATTATTTTGACATGAATGATTTCAAACAAATATCATTTGAATAATAAATACGGCAACGAGTTTCATAGTTATTTATATAAGGATTTTTCGCCCAAGTACTTAAAATATTTTTCAAAGCTGCAAAAATTACTTTCATATCTCTAAATTTACATATTCTATTGAATATTGACTCTATTTTGTTTTTTATTAATGTTACAGCGGCAAGTGTTCAACCGACGTTCTCTTCAAGTAGCTACGAAATACTTTTAACATTTTCTTATAACATGAAATTTACTTAAATTTTTTTACTATTGTTTACAATAAACATAGCACACAAACTTTTGGTAATGTTTAAAAATGCTTCCAAGATATTTATAAGTTTAAACATTGTTTTACGTTTTGAAACTGCAAAGCAGAAAATTTACGAATCGAGATGTGGGGCACAGATATAAAATTTATAAGGAAAAAGTTATGATAAATGCTCACCGTCAACAATATAGTTGAACATTACATAATGTATATAAAATGAATGACAAGAAAATATTGTAAATAAATAACTATTGACACGAAATATACTCAGCGCACATCACAAACGAACCACATAACAGCATCTGTACGAACAATCTTACCGGCGAAATCTTCCCTTTGTTGGAAATCGTACCAACAAACTCGCTACATTGGCTTGCAGCAGATCAGTCTCAACACCATCACCGAATGTCAAAATTATTGTTTCAACGAAGTTGCATGTTACGTAATGGACTTCGATATAAGTAGCAGGCCTCCGTGCTGGGTTCAGACAGGTGGAACCTTCGACTTTAATAACGTAGTACCCAACCAGCCCAATGTTACTAACCTAAGGCTGGAGACGTGCACAACTGCGTCGAGTAAGTGTAACCCACATTTCGTAAATTAAAAATACCTCCATTATTAAAAAGCGTAATGATTGATTTTGGTTTTTTGCCTAATAATTTCATTTTGTTTAGATGTATGGTTTTTGAAAAAAATCAAGCAACTAATTTTTAAGTATTGGTTTTTCTATCTATGTTCAGGACTGTTTTAAACACAAGCTCAATAGTACTTGTAAGTGTATTTGTAATTTTTGAGGTGAAAATAAATTTCGTGCATTAATGTGCGAGTTATATTGGAACAATGTATAGTATTAAACAGCCATTACTGATTAGCAGTGTTGCGCTAACTACTCAAAAAAGTAGTCAACTACTATAGTTAACTACTTATTTCACAGATTGTTAATAACTATTTCATTACTGTTTTTATTTGCAGTTATTAATGACTACTTTTTAACTACTGCCTAGTTGTTAACTTCTAGTTAATTATTATTAAATATTTTCCCCTGATTTATTTGCGAAATGTTTTTAAAGTAAATATAAAGTTGTTTGCTGATTTTTAAATTTTCTAAAATCTTTAATGTTCTTTTAAGTCTTTCTCTTAATAAATCATCTTATCAATATAGTTGTCAGACATTACTGTAATTTTTATAAAGGATCTATTATGGGCTGACCAGTGGCGGAACTAAAATGGCCAGTGCCTCTAACTGTGAACGTTATTTGTGTTGAAAGTTATTAAAAGTCGTTGTTTCAACGAAAAATTGTGCTTGTGAAGGAAAACTTGAATTATAAGCTCCGAAAAAAATGTGAAGTAAAATTTTAACCACATTACCATGAAAGAAACATTTCTTTTCATTCCCACCTAGTCATCAACTTTAGTAGAAATTTCCTATCCGGTCGTCAAATACATTTTTTTTAGAAAATCTTGCCCCCCCCCCCGTCAATGTTGTCTAGATCCACCCCTGGGGCTGATCAAATTGCAGCGGTTGCCGTCATTCATTGAACATCTTCCAAAGATTCAATCATTTGTTTATTACATAATTCATAGGCAGTGATGTGATTCCAACGTTTGCGAATTGGAATTTTGCTTGATGATATAACCCCAAATTTTTTTAAACCAGTGCGTTTTACTGTGGCTACTGACATCATGTCTTCAAATTTTATTTCTGTCACTGCTTTGGGGAATTTTTCATATAAAAAGTCAATTTGTTCCAATTTTTGTTGGAGCAGTCCTGCTACCTTTTTATGCTGAATTCTGCGCTTTTTAACATAAAAGCTTTGTAAGTGGGGAATGCTGTTCCTGTTATAAATTAGAGTTAAATATTTTGATTTTCTTCAACATTTTTCTAAATTTTAAATTCACTTAAGAAATTTGTTGCACTACACAGCAAAAATAACCTTCAAACAAGTATGATGCGCTGTTTGTGTGTCGTTGATTCCACTAAATATGGGAAGAGTGTAATAGAACTTTAGCCTGTTGATCTGTCACAGCTTTGAAAATAATTAATAGAAACCCATATGGAAACTATAAACATTCAGAAATGCTCAAATTAATTCTAAAATTAGTTGTTTTTCTCCCTGAAAAAACAATCAAACAGTTAACCCGTTTTTGTAATGGTTTTCTTTTAGAAATTAAGCAATAAGACTAATGTTAAAGAGTAAATATTAATAGAAATTAATCCCTCAATATTGCAGCAACCTTCCCCGCCAAAGCTGGCTTATGTTGGAAGACCTATCCACAAACCCTTTATGTTGGCCTGACACAGACGAACTACGCCAGCATTAAAGAGTGCCAAGATTATTGCTACAGTTTTTCTGCATGCTACTTATTTAATTACGATACCTCCACCCAACCTCCTTGCTGGGTGCAGACGACTGGAAGCTTCAACGCTAGTAATGTACTGTCGGGATTCCCGTCCCTGACCAATTTCAGATTAGAAACATGCACCTCCTCTTCAACTAGTTAGCGTTTAAAGTATCAAACATTAATTAGATTTAAATTCACTTTATTTATTTAATAATTAGTCTATCCTTCGTTCTATTAAACACTCACATTAAATGCTCTCTTAGCAGAAGTCAGGCAGACAATGAAATTTTGTTTAATATTTTAATAATATATATTAAAGTCTTTGAATGAGTTCTTATCGAGTAAGGATATAAAATTTATCACTGATTAATTTTTTAGTTAAATAATATTTAATTGTCTGTCAGTTATTTAATAAAACTTCTTTATTTCTCGAAAAACGGCAGATACAAACACGATTAAACAAATTCAAATGCAAGCTGAATCTCGTGGCGTTATTTCAGTGAACATTTCAAATTTTAACCGCCAAATATTTGAGTCAACTACTGTCGACTTCTAGACTTCTTCAAAGTTGTTTCAATATTGTCAACATTGACTATCTGGCGTAGTGGCCTAGTGGTTAAGGTCGCATGATGCTGTTTTGCAGAGCGTGCAGTGACCAGGTTCGAATATTACGAAAAGATCCCCGTCTACCACATGCTTCGTGTGTGATGAATATTCATATACGACGTTTTATTTTTCTGGATCTAGGAAGAGTGTTATAGACCTTTTCCTTGACCTCTAACCTTAGATTATAAATAAAGTTTATAGTGCGAATAATTTATTTGAATGAAAGAGCATGTTGTTTGTTGTATTCTGTCAGGTACGTCGACCTCCTTGACCCCAACTGCCACCACGGGTATGCCTCGCTAGTTATTTTTTGCTGTTCTATTTAGCATGGGTTGATTGTGAAATTAAAATTTTATACATTTAATTCGCAAAGTAAATTCTGTTTGATTTTATTTTGTTACCTAAAAAACTTTTTATTTATTTAACGAGCAATGTTTATTTGGCTTAAGTAATTAAGATTTTTATGCTGTAGCATTAAAATAAAATTTTCAAACATTTGTGAAATTAGTTTTGCAAAATACTTGAAATGTAAAATTTTCATTCCGACTTGCTCATACATAACTCAGTGAAACATTTACCCCTCATCAGAAAAAACGAGCCTTCCATGCGTTCGTGTATATTTCGACAAGTCGAGCCCTGGAGCCTCTAGTGTAGCCACCGGACTGACCGCTCTCCAATGTTTGACCAGCTGCGTAACGACGTCAACGAACTGCGCAGCAGTCGATTTTGACGTCACGACAGGTTGTTGGAGCCACTCCGATCGAGCCGCAGTGGATGGTGGAAGAATCGACTCAAGCACAGTTACGCAGTTTGTAGTGGAAAGAAGTTGCAACCTACCCGCACCTTGTCAGTTTTATAAATTTTTTATTAATTCACTGATATTTTTATTTGTTGAATAAATTTTTAATTTGCATTTTCAGATTGTTCATTCCAATTTTTGAACAACACGTCATCCTATGGAGGCAGGCAAGCAAATCAGATCAACACATTGCAGGAATGTCTCAGGTATTGCATCAACACTCCATCGTGTTTAGCACTTGACTTCAACGTACAAAACGAATGTTGGATACACACCGACCTCAGCATCGTTGTAACCAACCGCATTGCAAATTCTCAAGTCACCCAGTTCGTCTTGAATAGAGTAAACTGCATCAGTCAACCTTCACAAACCACCTCCGCTAGTAGAACAGCCAGTACAACAAGCATTTCAACAGGTTTGCATTAATGGTTTTATAGTTGGGATCAAACAGTTTCATTAGTATTTATCTTTAATTTACGTCACGTCATTCTAAAGCATCGTTAAAAACTTTTAATTTAATATTTTTTATAAAAGTTTTACTAAATTTGTGTCGCCAATTTTGGGAGATTAATAGAAATTCGTGGAATAATTAATGTTAAATTGAACGAAAACGATTTAAGCCTGCTTACTGGCAACATTCCAAAACACCAACTCGTACGGGGGAATGTTGGTTGACTCCATCAACAACAGTGTGTCCTGCCTCAACTACTGCCTCATCACAATTTCATGCGTCGGCGCTGACTTCAACACGGCCTCAAACCAGTGCTTCCAACATACGGATAAAAATGCTTTCGAAAACACAAAAAACGTTAATTCTCCTGGAATTATTCAATTCGTGAAGAATCCAAACTGCGGTCTCTCAACATCTCCAGTCATAGGTTTTTTGTAGCTTTTTTTTAATTTGTGTAATTAATTTTAAAATGACAAAATATTTGTATTATTTACTAATAATTAAATGAAATACTTTGATGAGAACTATCCAAAAACAGCAACCACATTCAGCGCCATATCCACCACCACTTCGTTTGGCGTCAGAATCTCCACTATTTCTGGAATTCTATCTCAAAGTAGATTTTTACACTAATATTGTATAATTTTATTTCAACATATTGTCTTAATCTATAAAACTTATTTATATAAGGGCAAACATGTTTCAGTAAGAAATGCAGAAAATGGGCAAGGAGGTGATTCATGGCTGAAGCTTTCCTACAATGAAAAAATTTGTTAGGGTTAAGGCTAAAATGAACGAAATCTTTATAAAATTTTGTAAAAATATGGACTGAAACCTATCTCAGTTTTCTCCGTAACAATATAATTTAGGTAAGCTTAGCATAAGCTACTAGTTTTAATCGCGAAATTTGTTGAAAAATGAATGATAACCGACAAAATTTCACCAAGTCTTTACATTCAAACAAATCTAACCCTCACACGTCAAATTTTTGGCTATGCACGCCATTGAAGAAACGACTTAATTTTTGGCAGTAGTCATTTGACCGTAGAATTCTAATATTTTATAAATTCAACATTTAATTCAAACAGATTGCTTGATAGCCACTTACCAGAACACAAACTCGCAAGGCGGAGCTCAAGTTTTTGGAATCTTCTCGAGTCCGATATGTTTGAGCTTCTGTTTGAGCAGGCCAACTTGCGTAGGGGTAGATTTTGACGTCGTGTTGGGCCAATGTTTTATCCACAGCAACAAATATCAGTTCGAAACGACGAGGCAAATGAATTCAGCCCAAGGAGTCATTCAATACGTCATGTCCACAAACTGCACTGGAGTCACCACTCAGTCCACAACTCGTCCTGTCACTATGTTTAGTTAGTTCTATTGAGAATTATAACTCACTCATTCACTCACAAATCACAAACTCACTCACTCATTTATTTATTTATATTTATTCATTTATTTATTTATATGCTTGATGGTTTTTTTTATAACAGAGTAATTAAAAAACTTTTGTTCAACATCCTTGCACAGCCTCCAGGCAGCCTCTGTCTTGTGCTCCAAGTTTCAGAATTTATTTCAACTCATCTTCTTCAACATCAGCTACTCAACAATCTCAGTTGGACGCTCTCCAATGCATGGTCAGTTGTTTCATCTCGTCACGAACCTGCGTGGCTGTTGACTTCAGTCCTGTCCGAACATGTTATAGCTACAACGACCGTGGGCAGGTTGAATCTGCTAGGAGAACTCTCAACTTCGTCAATCAATATATCGTTGATAGGTCCTGCAATTTGCCATTGCCATGTAAGTATTACGAGCTCTGATCATTTTATTTATGAAAAATTTTTTAAATTTCTAGACTAAAATTTTTAAAATAAGTATATTTACATAAAAATTGCTTGAAAAGTTTATTCACATTAAATAAAAAGTTGTTTGATGATTACGGCAGATTGTTCGTACCAATTTTTCATGAGCACTTCTTCGGTGGGAGCCCAACAAGCCACACAAGCGACAGATCTGCAGTCTTGTTTGTACCTCTGCATCGCCACTCCAACTTGTGTAGCAGTTGATTTCAACGCTCAGAATCAATGCTGGTGGCACAGCAGCACCTCCGCCGTCACTAACAACAGGATGACCAACACTGATGTGTCCCAGTTCGTGCTGAATAGAGTGAACTGTGATGTCCTACCACCGATTATTTTTACAAGCTCGTCCTCTTCAGCTCCTGTTTCAATTTGTTAGTAACGATAGCGAAGATGCTTGGAATTATTATCGAAATGTTGATGAACGCAAAATAATTTCATTGGACACGTTTTATTTAATAAACACTTTTGAAATTGTATAACATGCTTTTAAATTTTTAGTGAAAACGTACTGCAAGGATATTTATTTATATGAAATGAAGCGGTATGATTTATACCAAATTTTCCAATTACTAATTAATGTCTTTAAACTAACCTGGATCAAATTACATGTTTGTAATATGAATCTTATAAAAAATGACTTCTCTCTTAAAAATACTGCATTGAACGAAATTAATTTTGTAACAGCAACATCCGCGCCACTATCGTGTGCCCCAAGCTTCAGGGTTTACTTCAACGCAACATCGCTTGGATCAAATGATCTTTTGCCGCAACTCGATGCCGTTCAGTGCATTACCAACTGCTTCATATCGTCAACCACCTGTGCTGCTGTTGATTTCAAGATTGGCAGTGGTTGCTGGCGTTTCACGGATCGCAACCAAGTAGATGCAACTCGGACAACTAACAATTTGGTTACTCAGTTCGTGGCTGAAAGATCTTGTGCTCTGCCTCTTCCGTGTAAGAGTTTTAAAAGATATTTTTAAATAATATTAATATTTTTATAATATTTCACTAGCATTAAACAAAGTTATATTTGCTTCAAATTTTTCGTGACAGTATATATTACTGGTGGATTGTTACTTACAAACTTACAAATCTAACAGTTTGTTCGTACCAGTTCTTCGGCGGCACATCATCTTACGGAGCCCAACTTGCGCAGCAAATAAACACACTCCAAGATTGCCTCTACCTTTGCATCACCACGACGAACTGCGTGGCAGTTGACTACAACGTTCAGAACCAATGCTGGCTGCACGACAACTTAACCGTGGTGCTGCAAAACAGGGGTATCAACACCGAATCATCACAACTTGTATTGAACAGGGTGAACTGTTACGTGGGACCCCCAATTGTTCAAACTTCAACTCAAAGTGGAAGTAAGTTCGAATTTGTTAGTTGACGTTTATTCCAAAATTTACAGTACTAAACGTATTTCAGTGTGCTATCTATTCATAAATTATTGAACATAAAAAAAATCTTTCCAGTTGTTACACAACCACAACCCTGTCAACCAAGCTTCAGAATATTCTTCAACTCAACATCCTCTGGATCAACTGATTTCCTGCCTCAACTCAACACGACCATTCAATGCATCACCAACTGCTTCATAACGTCAGCCGCATGTGCTGCTGTTGATTTCAGAACTGACAATCTTGGTTGCTCGAGGTTCACAAATCGGTTCCAGGTAGATGCAACTCGAACGGCAAACAACTTTGTTACTCAATTTGTGGCTGAGAGATCTTGTGCTCTGCCATTCTCGTGTTAGTCTTTAAAATTTACGTTCTACAACATCGTTTATTATTTATATAAGGAATACTTATTTAATTAAACATTGTTATTGGAAATTCGAAAACATTACTAAATTTTGTGGACTAACTTTCTCCAGAAATATCATTTCTCCATTTCTTCACTTTTAAATCTCTCCATGGTATAAGCGCCAAAAAAGTGGTGGATTAAATAAATTTTTATATTGAATAATTTTAATTTTCTTAAATTTCAATGTCAAAATATATATCCATTCAAAGTCAAAATATATATTTGATTAATGATTCCCTGTGTAATTAACATACAAAAAATGAAATTATTGTTGTAAAGTCAGGATTCTGCCTAGTTTGATTGAGATTAAAATGAAACATTGTTGTTAAACTTCGTTTTTTTATTACCCGATACGATGAAGATACTAAAATAGGACTTAAGAGTATTCTAACAACAAGGCACATATATGTGAAATAATCCAATATTTATATATATATATATATTTATTTATTTATATATATATATATATATATTTATATATGTGTGTGTGTGTGCGCGCGCGCGCGTGTGTGTGTGTGTGTGTGTACGCTGGTCAAAGACCATAATCCATCATTAATAGCGTTGGATAAAAATTTTTAGAATTGTAGAGATTTAACTTTTCAAATTGTTTACAACAAGTTGATTATAATTTTTAACTGAATTAACACATTATAAAATAAAATTTTTCACCGCACAGTTTGCTCCTACCAGTTCTACAGTGGCACCTCATCGTACGGAGCCCAACTGGCCCAGCAAATAAACAGCCTCCAAGATTGTCTCTACCTATGCATCGTTACTTTGAACTGCGTTGCCCTCGATTACAACGTACAAAACCAATGTTGGTGGCACAGTGATAGGAATGTGGTCACCAACAACAGAGGCGCCAACCCCGAGTCATCTCAATTTGTTTTGAACAGAGTCAACTGTGTTGTCCCTCTATCCAGTGCTCAAACTACCACAGAAAGCCAAGGTTATAAGCTGTTAATGATAAATATACCATAATTAATATTGCATGTGAACATTCCGTCAAAATCGGTTATGATTTTCTTTTTTAACGTTTTTGTCAAATATTAAAATCTCTCAACCTAATACTATGATTGTAGCAAGAAAAAACCAGAATCATGGAGACGGTCGGAGTCGAATGTTTTGGCGTTAGTCAGAGTTGAAACTATTGGAGCACCGGAATCGGTCTTTACCAAAAAAAATTAATTACTGTTCAACATGAATTTTTACATTTTTTCAAAAAATCGAAATCGAATAATTTCTTATCACATTCCGTCATCCCAATTAAAAGTGCTATCCATGTTCGTGTTGACGGTTTAAACAGATCATGAACAGCAATAGTAAAGAACAAAACTATCAGAAATCAACTTGGAAGACAGAAAAGTGTATATGAAAAATTCAGGGAAATAAATTTAGGATTTTTTAAACATATTTGTAGAATGAGGGAAGACAGATTGATTAAGATGGTACTAATGAGGAGAAGAGATTGGAAGAAATTTTGGTAGACCTGCTAAGAAATGGATAGATGACATTACTGAATGAACTAGTGTTGGTATTCTGAATTCAATAAAACTGGTCAAAGATAGAAAAGATTTTTGGAAAAAAAAAGAAATGTAAAAAGTGCTAAGATGCGCGTGCTTCAACGATGTAAAGCGTGCTAAGATATACACAATCGACCTCGACTGTCCCCTGCCTGATGGACAAAGGAGGATCATTGGTTGATTAATTGATTGATTGATTGATGAACAACAATAATTTGTTAATTTTAGTATCAAGGAAACGATGAAATATAAAAACATTGTTTTAATATCATTCCAGTTGTCACACAGCCACAACCCTGCGCCCCAAGCTTCAGAGTTTACTTCAACGCAACATCGCCTGGATCAAATGATCTTTTACCGCAACTCGATGCCGTTCAGTGCATCACCAACTGCTTCATATCGTCAACCGCCTGTGCTGCCGTTGATTTCAGGATTGGCAGTGGTTGCTGGCGGTTCACGGACCGCAACCAAGTAGATGCAACTCGGACAACTAACAATTTGGTTACTCAGTTCGTGGCTGAAAGATCTTGTGCTCTGCCTCTTCCGTGTAAGAGTTTTTAAACTTCTGTAAGAAAAATATATAACCAATTGTTTTTTTTAATAAATTATTAGTCTATAATAAATAAATTTTTATCCAACGTAACTAATAGGTGTTTTGTTAAAACGAAACGCAAACTGTGATAATACATTAACAAATTAAGAAACTAATGAGCTAACAACTTGAAACATTTTGTCACCGCACAGTTTGTTCCTACCAGTTCTACAGTGGCACCTCATCGTACGGAGCCCAACTGGCCCAGCAAATAAACAGCCTCCAAGATTGTCTCTACCTATGCATCGTTACTTTGAACTGCGTTGCCCTCGATTACAACGTACAAAACCAATGTTGGTGGCACAGTGATAGGAATGCGGTCACCAACAACAGAGGCGCCAACCCCGAGTCATCTCAATTTGTTTTGAACAGAGTCAACTGTCTTGTCACGCCACCTATTCTTTCAACCACCACTCAGCGCGGAGGTCAGTCGTTAACTAAAATAAAGTATTTTATTGTCGTGTTAATTTTTAATGCAAAACACTTCCTCTGCTGGTCTTTTTGTTAATTTTTATTTAAGCCCCGATTAAAGTTTTTATTTGTTGAATATTATCCAGTTTCAACACAGTCTCAGACATGCCCGCCAAGTTTTAGAGTTTATTTCAACTCAACGACGTTTGGATCTGTGAGCCAGCAGCCGCAATACAACGCTCTGCAGTGCATCACCAACTGCTTCATTGCGTCAACAACGTGTGTGGCTGCTGAGTACAGTGACGCAAGTAAGTGTTGGACTTTCTACAATCGCCAGCAGATTGAAGATGGCAGATCGTCCAGTCCCAGCATCACCCAGTTTGTTGTGGAGAGGTCTTGCAGCCTGCCCTTTTCATGTGAGATTTATACTAATACAAACTTTTTATGCTAATATAATTTAACTTATTAGAAACATAGGCATCATTACAAATCTGCTACACTCAAGTCATAAAATAAAATATTTCAAACATTCTAATTTTCAAAAATTTTGCTGAAAATATTACTTTACTTGTTTAAAAAATGTTTGACAGTCTGCTCCTTTCAATTCAACTTCAACGTATCTTCCTACGGAGCCCAACTTGCTAATCAAATAAGCAGTCTACAAGACTGCCTTTACCTATGCATCAACACGCCAAATTGTGTAGCTGTCGACTACAATATTCTCAACCAGTGCTGGATACACAACAATATTAACGTTGTCTTGTCTAATCAAGACACAAATCCAGACGCATCTCAATTCATACTGAACAGGGTCAACTGTGCCACAGTTTCAGTGGGAACGACTCTCAGCCCTGCCACCACTCCGTCAGTTTTGAGAACATCAACTCGTCCTTACACTATCAATCCTAATTTCAGTTAGCATTTGAATTTTATTTTTTAATTGACGAAAATTGTTCACATAGACAAGTTGATTTTAAATCTTCACATAAGGTAGTTGATTTTAAATCATTAGTTAGTTATTATTTGAATATTTCTATTTGTTTTTTCTCACACCTCTTGTTACTATTGCCATCAATCTCGTCAATCTCGTCATTCTCATCGTCAACAACTTTTAACAGCCTGCGTAGATTGGGTGAAACTTGTTCAGACCAGAGCAGCCAACCACATCTACCAATCACAGTTCAGGGATTTGAATTCATGTTTGAACGGTTGTTACCTGGTGTCCAGGTGTGTGGCCGTCGACGTTGGAGCTTCTAATAGCGACTGCTACTTCATCTACGATGTTAACGATGATAATTACGAGTAAGTAATGAGTGAAATGCTCTATATACATTTAATCCCATTACACTTGATTCGTCACGCTTCATCCCTGGTCTTTTGATAACCAATTCTAACCATGAAATACTGAATAAGAATGAATTTTAGACCAATCCAATTTTTGGAGAGCCCGGAGTTTTTCATCCGACTCTGATTGTTAAGAAATTGAAAAACAAAATTATTTAAAAAAAATGATTTTATCAACATGTTTTGTGGCAAGTGTATGTGTGTTGCGACTCGCAATGCGCAGTCGTTTTTAATAATGTCAATTTGTACAGTAGACGCAACAAAACGTGCTCTGAAGCCATATTTTTACTTCCAAAAAGTTTAAAAATTTTTTGAAAGTCGGAACCAGAAAATCGGAGTTGGAAATCGGAATTGGAAGTTTTTAAGAAAGAAATCGGGCTCGGATATTCATCTGACTTCAACACCACTCTGCCAAAGCGAACCGTTAAAATTTGAAATGAAAATAATTTGATCTGCATTAATTACATAAACATACTTTTCTTCCCTTACAGCCTTTCCTTCACCCAGTACCAAATTCAGAGACAATGTTACCAGAAAGGTCAGATTATTTATTTTCAGCGCAAAACACACATAAAATATTTGGCAACCATCATTTAATTAATAAGTTATTTATTCACAAATATAAACCTCAGGTCCGATTCCAGGCCAATGTCAAAACTACCAGCAGAACGTCAATCAGAATTCGGTGAATGGTCGTTTGTACTTCCAGTACACAACGGTACCTGCCTGCAAAGATCTCTGCTTCAGCATTCCGACCTGCGTGGCATTCGACTTCAACACGAACACTGCCGACCCAAACTTCGGTTGCTGGCTGCACTTGGACCAGTACGACCTCGCGAGCATCAACACCTTCGTCGCCAATGGTATCGATCAATACATCTTGAGTAGAGATTGCACAGGTTAGTTTTTGTTTTTTTGATTTAGTATTTAAGTTCAATTGAAATTTTAGTAATATTTTTAATTTTATTTTAAACTATTTGTTTGATAAAGCAAATTTTGTCGAGATATGTTTTTCATGATTTTGCATAAAAAAATCATAAAAAAAGAACTATTACAAAAATCGCAGGTTCGTGCTTCTACACGTGGAACTTATACGTGGACAACGGCTTGAGCGGAGGCATTCCCCAACGAGACACAACAGTTCAGGGGTGCCAACAGAGGTGCATCAACAACCCAACATGCACGGGTATTGACATCGATACGAATCCAAACCACAACTTTTGCTGGCTGCATTTCACCACCGACCTCTTTCTGTTCCCCACCAGTGGAGTGAGTCATTATCAGATCAGTAGGAGCGCCAGCTGTCCCGAGTCTCGTCAGTGTTTCAACGAATACATTATTGCGTTAACAATTAGTTTTTATTAAATAGATATGATTGTGAGTATGATTGTTAATGTCATTGTGATTATGAATATGACTTGGATTGTTACGAGTTGAATGACAACCGCTACATAGAACTCCAAACAACATATTTGTGTTTCAGTTAACAGTCATGAAATTTGTTAACTTTTCATATAGAAACGACAACTACACTTAACCCGGTCACGTCATCCACAGTGATGCCTATGATTGGTAGGGAGAGTTTAATTTCATCAACCACTGTCACACTCCTCTATTATACAGCAACCAACTTATTTAAACAATAAATTAAATTAACTGCTTTTAATTTAGTTAACCAATATTTATTCATTCGTTAGAATTATTAATTAATTATTTATTCATTCGTTAGAATTATTAATTAAAAAATTTCTTTTTGATGAATTATTATTCTTCCAGCCGGTTGTTACGTGCGTTCACTCATCAGCATGAATGCCGACGGAGGTCAGAGGTATCCTGACCCCGTATCCAACGAGACGTGCGCCCTGCAGTGTCTCCAGTTGTATCCTCAGTGTGTGGCGGCTGACTGGAGCATCAGTGATAGGACCTGCTACTTGCATAACTCTTTCAGCGGTCGCAAGCCAAGTCCATGTTGCAACAGATACGAAATAACCTGCACCTGTTTGTTCATTTCTATTGTTATATCAATTGCTACGAATCTAGTATATGCTATGCAATCTTCGTTGTAACATTGTGTAATAATTTTCATCCAACGCAAAGAAGTTTCAAAATTTTCACTCAATAAATAAATTAATTATACCGTTTTTGAGCTTGCCTGCCTGTACCAACTAGCCAAAACTATCATAAATGTATCCGGCTAATATTGCATTTTAAATATTCTGCTCATTCAATTCTCTGCTATTTCTAGTTTTATTTGGCGGCGTGATGGTTAAAGATGTATGGTGCTGTTTGCTGTGATGCGGTGACCGGGTTCGATATTACACGTTGGAAAAGTGTATGACATTTTATTATTAATAGTGCCTAATATAGTTTTTAATTGCAAACCCAAACTAATTCAGCAACGAACCCAGCAATCTGCCAGGATGACTTCATCGTTCTGCCATCCTTCTCCCCCAACCTCCAGTACCTCAACTGGCAGAGCAACATCTTCAACTTGAACGACTGCAAGACTAGCTGCCTAAGCTTCGGGAAGGGATGCATCGGTGTGGTCTTTAGCCAGGAAGGAAGGGTCATTCCAGGTGTTAGCACGTGTTACTTGGTGACATCTATCGACGCCATGAACACTTCGCAGCGATCCAATGATTTTGACTTGTATTCGAGGAGTTCATGCGAACCTTACAATTCGGCTATGTTGACGAGTTAGTTCAGCGCGTTATTAGTTCAGCTGATTTTTAAAATTTTATAGAAAATTGTATTTGATTAGTTTTTAATTTATTTAAAATAAAAATTATTTGATAAAATTTTGAAGCATTTAACAGTTTAGTTTCATTTTTTCATTAAATTACAACTGTATCGTAAAAAAATTTTCAGCGACACCTTATCCTACCCCTCTGCCTGGTATGTCCTTTGAATGATATTAATTTCATTTTCACTTAATTATGATTTGATAGTTAGTTCCTAATCAATAAATTTGGCTCCAAATTATAACAGTTATTCGTTTCGATTATGGTTGTTACTAATTAATTTGAATTTAGAAGTTATTTTGAAAGTTTGAAAATTATCTAATAACTAATTTTGATTGCGCCAAAAAATGTGCAATTATTCAAGAAAATTATTTTTAAATAACATACATAATTCAATAATCCCATAGTAAATCATCGCACGGTAGCATTTTTTGCTTTTATATTTGACGTTTTGGTTAAAGTTTAATTTTTAAGTATTAAAAATGTGTTAGATAGAAATTTTTAGCATTCTGAATGAAAATTATTTGGCTAAATGGAAAATTTTCTAGAAATTATATTTGAAGATTTATTAATAGTTTTTTAAACTAAATTCATATCGCAGCAATCCTCAAACAAAATTTTTTAAATTTTGCCAATGCTATATTTGTTACTATAAGTTGCCAATGTTGACGATAACTGTGATTACGAAAATATATTAGTAAATGTTTATTATTGGATGTTGATGGAATGATTTAATATTCCAGGAACCTGTCTGTTGGATGTTGTCTTCCTCGTCGATACCTCAGGTAGCATCCTGGACAACCAGCCACCCGGCCTCAACAACATGCAACTCATCAGATCGTTCCTTGAAAGTTTCCTTCAGTCCAACCTCAAAGTTGGACCCTTCTTTGACCACATCGGTCTCATCACATTCGACACAAATGCGCGAATAGCATATGACTTGTGTTAGTATTTTGCCCTCTCTCTGTGCCTATCTTTCTCTCTCTCTCTCTCTCTCTCTCTCTCTCTCTCTCTTTATATACATACATATATACATATATCTCTTTTTGCCATTTGTTTATCGAGATTAGACAATGTAAGTTTGTTCAATTATTTTCAGTGGTCGATAAATTCTGTTAAACAAACATACTATCCCAGGTGACAATCAAGTACCTTATTCAATAAACGCAAGTGGCATCATGAAGATCAGGCAGTCGCTCGGCATAACGAACACGCCTGCAGCATACGATCTAGCGTACGACATGCTGTTTGGGTCTGGAAGGTGTGGCCGGGCCGCAGCGCAACCAATCATCGTTCTCATCACCGACGGTCACACTTCGCCGGAGTATCGAGAGTTTTTTGCAGCTAGCTTGGCGAAGCTTGTTTATACTAGATCAGTTAGGATAGGTAGGTCTTATATATTTATTACAACTTATCGTGGCCTATAATATTATTTTAGTGTATTTCAACCGTATCCAATCTTTGTTAACCAACCAGCAATTGGAGTGACTACTGATGTTAATCCTGTGGAACTTCAGCAATTCGATTCTGAGGATATCAGAGGCATTCCAATTTTGGACGATTTTAGTCAGCTGTTCGCCATGCAGGGAGTCATCTACAATTTTATGGCCCAACGTTGCAACAGGCCAACCGTAGCCACCGTGCCCATCCCAACCAGTAGGACTCGTCTTCATCATTTCAATAAATATAAATTAAATTTTTTCAATTTGAAAGTTTAGCGAAATGTTGGTGTACAGATTTTTTGTTGTAAATTAAGATATCTTTTGAATGCAGTATCTTTAAAAAAGTTTGTAATTCTAACTAGCTCAAACATTGAATTATTATAGCTCAGATTTTGATCAAGTCATGCTACATTATAAAAGTTTAAAACATTTAAAATGTTATTAAAGGAAGTTTTACAAGTTTTAGTGCTTCTACATCGACAACAACCGCTACTACTACTACTACTACTACTACTACTACTGCTACTGCAACGATTTCCACTTCCGCCAGACAAATCATTTCAACCATGAGTTATGCTCAAAGTGAGACTATTTCTATTGACAAAGTTTTATTTAAATTTATTAGATAAATTTATTAAAACAAAAATTATTGCAAATTAAAAACAGTTATTTGCAGTGAGCTGTTTGTTATATTGAAATTTTGAATTCCAGATAACGCGTTTGCCTTCAATGCCTACTTGACTCAATCTATCCAAGGACCTCAGGAATGGCTGAGGTTTGATCAGTCGACCCTCTCTCTGTCCAATTCATATCTATCGAATGCAAATGGATTTGTAAGTCCTGGACCTGAAGGGTTGTTTTTCATTGATTTGGGTGCAGCGGTCAGTCCAGGTAGAAAACTACAAATCGATTTAATAGTTGGACCAAATCAGCAAAGGTTTCTTAATTGGGAATCAACTTCTCAAAATGGACTAATAACGGTCAGCAGATTTGCAGTGATGTACCTGCAGAGTGGTTTGCTTGTTGGATTCAAAATGCCGGCATACGATTCCTATCTTCAAAGTGATTCTTCCACTCGATATGGAAGTTTTTCAGGGTTCAGTATAGCTCATGCCATGACCTATGACGCAAATCGTTTTGCCCTTGTAGCTGTGCCAAACGTTAATAGTTTTCCAATTATTGGTGAAAATTATACCATTCCACTTCGATCAGTTGTGTCTTCACTTTCCAATAATTTGGTCAACGGAAATACATACGTCTGCCCAATAAATGGAGTATATGTAGTAACGTTCTCTGCTGGGGTCGTCTATAACAAAAAACTTCAGCTATCAATCTCCGGGTTGGATCCGACAATCGATCTTTCGAGACTTGGCACCAACCGAAACGGACTGACGAGTGTTTCGAGAACGTCACTTGTTAAATGCCAGCAGGGTCAACAAATTTATTTCAAACTGTTATCCGGTCAAATAGACGACATCAACCTCACTGCCTTTTCTATTTTCCAATACAAACCGCAGTATGTTTCGGAGCAGAGTTGGGGTGTGTATAAATCGTACAATTCTGACACAAGAGATAATTTTCCTCTTGATCCTTTTTACTTCGACACGCCACTCGTCAATGACCAGGGTTTGTACGACGGTGGTAATAACATCGTGAGGATACAGATTTCTGGTTATTATTACGTGCAAATAACGGCCGGAAGTCAAACTGGATTCAATGTGCGCATGAGATTGGTGAGGGTGGACGGTAGAACTGGAGCACAAAGTACATTGTTCCATCTCTCTCAGACTGACACGAATTCAGGTTAGTTACAAAATTTTTATAACAAACAAGCAAATGTGTGTGTGTGTGTGTGCGTGTGTTTGTGTGTGTGTGTGTGTGTGTGTGTGTGTGTGTGTGTGTGTGTGTGTGTGTGTGTGTGTGTGTGTGTGTGTGTGTGTGTGCATGGCGACCGCAAGTATTTTATTTTATTTTGCATCTCCTTTGGCCCATTCGTTTGTTTGTTTGAATAGGTCCAGAAGGTATGAATTAAGAGATAAATAACATTGTTCTAGAAGTCCTTTTATCTACATAGAATGAAAAAACTTGCCTTTCCTTGACAATCCTTTACTTCTCCTTCTTGTTACTTCGTTAGTCTTATCTAGGATTAATTATTGTAACTCGCTCTACTAGAGTCTTCCTGATTCTACACTCTATCCTCTAAGAAAAGCTTTTAACTCTGCTGCTCGTCTAGTTACTCGTGCTCTTTTCTCATATATTTGATTGATTGGTTGGTTGTTTAGTTGGTTGGTTTGTTGGTTGGTTGTTTGTTTGGTTTGTTTGGTTGGTTTGTTGGTTAATTGGTTGGTTGGTTGGTTAATTGATTGGTTGGTTGGTTGTTAGGTTGTTTGTTTGATTGTTTGTTTGATTGTTTGTTTGGTTGGTTGGATGGTTAATTGGTTGGTTGGTCGGTCGGTTGGTTGGTTGATTGAATGATTGATTAATAGTTTCTTTTACTAATTTTTGAAGAACCTATTGAAAATTGATAAAATTAATTGAATTCGGCACAGTATAAATTCAATGAATAAACGCTGTTAACTTTTCAGATGCTCAAGATTTCATATCACATGGATCGATTGTTTTATTGAGAGCCAATGATTTTCTCAAAGTGGTAGCTGACATTCCATCTTACCTATATAACACCATCTACGGATACCAAACATCATTCATTGGATTCCTTATATATCCTGAATAAATTTTATCTTCCAGTGATGTTTTTCTTTTAATTTCATGTGCGAGATATTTAAATTATATTGACGATATTTTATGATTTTTTCTTTGTTCGTTAATATTTCGAGTTACTCATCCTCTAAATATGATTGCTAATGTTCTTGGCTTTAGAATAATAGCGATTTTCAGTGAAAATCGCGCGAACTAACACGATTTTACTCCGTTATATATTTTATTCTGACGAAACTCTCATTTAACCAGCTAATATTTTTGTTATAACGATCCAACTTGCTCTTCAATTTAACATTCAGATGCGTTATCTTTACGTTACAATTTTAATAAGTTAAATGCAATATGTGTTAAACTTGGTGTTCGTTTAATCATTAATTGATATATAGATATGTTAGATATTTATTATTTCTTACTTTTCAATTCGTTCTTCTTCATTCCAACAATATCTTTCCGGATATAATAACTTGAACGAGAAAATTAATGCTTGACTTCCCATTTCGAATTTAAATCCATTTTTAAATTTTCCATGCGTGATTGTCTGTTTTTAAAATTTAATTAATTATTCTTTATTAATTAATTAAATTAATAGAGTAATTCATTTTTAGCTCTTTCGTTTCGAAAGTGAAAAATAAAAAAATGTCCTACCGCGATTTAAGAAGTAATTAGATAATTTATTATTTCGTTAATTAACTTCTAAACGGTGATAATGATAGATAGAGTAGACAAGTAGAGTGATATTGTTTTTTATTTTAATTTTTTAAAATTTTAAAAGATTTTCAATTAGTTATTAATTAATTAAAATATCAATAAAACAACATCATTACTTTCATTACAATTACACTATTATAGATTACATTATTTATTAAAATTAAATTAATTATTAATATTATTAAGTTTAAGATAAAATTGAAAATAAATTACTCATTCATTTTATTTTATTATCTTTTGAGATTTCAGCCCATTAATGAGTTTTTTAAAATTTTATTTTCTGTTCTCTGTTTTATGAAGCATTTGTAGAATATAATATTATTATGTACATTTGAATATTAATATTACATACTTATAAAGCCTTACAGATAAATTAATAATATTTTTCACATTAATTAAATAAATAAATTGTTTTTGGAACATTGACTACATAACAAATTAATTGCATTTTTAAAACTATTATTGACATTAAACTAAATATTAGTAATTTATCCCATTACCTTTTCACACGATTTGATTTTTTAAATTAACCTTTAATTTTTTTATGTCATCTAATAATAATAAGTAATAAATGGAATTTAAAACTAGGCTTCACAGAAATCATGAGAGCCATAGGTTACAAAAGATTAATTTCACTTGAAAATTTTAAAAAGCCAAACTTCCCACTACTTTATGAGATTTTGAAATGGCTGCTGTCTTAGTTAGTTTTGTTTCTAAAAGATTAATCAATTGTTTATCATTGTATATTTTTTAATGTAGATCAAATTTGATTGATCAACAACTACGTTAATGTTCCTTTTCTCAATTATTTTTATTAATTTATCAAAAAATAAACCTGATTTGATCAAATCAGATGTTTGGTGCTGGTTTTTTGATTAAATAAAAGTTTTTTTTAATTTTTATTCAATATTTTTTTTCAAATAAATTATTATTAGCTTCGAGCCGAACGTTTTTTTACCGAATGAAGATATCCAGTCGTGTTATGAAAGAGTTAAATTCGTAAACTTCGTGTCGGAGTTCATGGTAACTTCATTCACATTTTCATTTATTTTAAACCTTCAGAAACAAAACATCTTCCACACTTATTAATTCTTTACATGAATACCCTATATGTATGATTTTTTTTTTGTTATACTCACAGCTAACTAAAGCAAACATAAAAATTAATCCCAAAAAACTCTACGAGGCGAATGGCTATGCAGTCAAGGAATTGTTGAAAATCGTGCAAGTGCTTCATAATGAGGTCAAATTAAATGAGGCCAGCTTTCTCTTGACACCTGATGACATCATCACCATCATCATTGCAGAGGATGAGTTTGTTGGTGAGGAGAGTGGTGATGATTATAGTATAAGAAATCACGTTATCAGTAGTAAATGTAGAGATAGCCACAGTGATAATACTGATAACAATGATGACGATGAGGATGATAGGACTTACACTCTGCTGACCAACTTGGCTTCAAGGGTTATTACATCTTTTTTTCTATTTTAAATAGTTATTTGTAATCATAACTCACATAAAATGAAATGTCTTGGCATCTGTACATTGTACATTCTATAATGCTACTCTTGTTTGACGTAGATCGAATTACATTACAATGTAAAGTATATAGTTTATTCCATGGGAGAAGAGGGAGGAGTTTTTATAAAACTAAAAATAGTTTGTTAAAAAAAGCAGACGGATGAGTTGAGAGAGGCAAGAGTATTGGTGAAAGAGATAACAGAGATGGCTGCCAACCTGTACTTCAAACTTGCCAAGGAAGTTGATCTCAGTGTAAGTGGGCGTTTGATGCTGTCTATTCGCTCCATGTTGTGTACATGTTTGTGTGTGTGAGTATGTGTGTGTGTGTACGTGTTTATGTGTGTTTCGGCTTGTTTATTTGCGTGTGCGTGCGTGCGTGTGTGTGTATCTATAGTTTTGTTATTTATTTTTATAACTAGTATATTTGTTATGGTATTTCAGTATAATTAATGCTAATTTAAATTTGATCAATTAGTTGGCACGTGTTTGTTGTATCAGTGTCCAACATTGCGTGTTGTAATAGTTGTATGTTGGTGGAATTCTTCCAAGATTAATCTTAAAAGAATTCCACCAAATAGCGAAATTTGTCTTTGAGGAATTGAAAATCACGAAGCAATCCTAATAATATGCTAGTCAACAGTTCGTTGCGCTGAAGTCCTGGCATGAATTGCAAATCATTGGAATTCCACTTTTATTTTCTGTTGACCAACTTCAAAACCGGCAGGAAGCCAGGTTTCATGCACTCACCAGACATTATGACCTCGACAGCATCGAACATTTGATTGGAGAACAAATCAAGTTAACTATGGTAGGCGGTATTATTATTATTTTTATTATTCGTAGTAGTAGTAGTAGTAGTAGTAGTAGTAGTGGTGGTGGTGGTGGTGGTAGTAGTAGTAGTGGTAGTAGTATTTCTGTTAGTTGTTAGTTGCTGTATGGTCTCCTTAAAACGGCGCATGAAATGTCGCTGTCCTGTAATACGTTATTGAATATAGACTGTAAAAGAAGTTGACAAGTACACTCAAACACACACACACACACACACACACACACACGCTTACGCATTAACACACACACATACAAATAGACACATATACATGCTTATTCATGCGCACACACACATGTTTACATATTAACATACACATACAAGACATATATAGTATATGTATATGCAGCAACGCACGTACATACACTCACACACATACGAAACGAATACACTCGCGCGCGTACAGAAAGAAACACTGGATACTGAGAAGCTTCTGGGACGTCAGAAGGCAGACAAGTTGAGGCTGAATGAGAAGTTCGAGAGAAAGGCAGTGGAGATGGATAGGTGCCTCAAAAGATACGACACTCTCATCAGCATCAGGTTAAATCAATTCATCTTTATTTCTTGTTTATTATTATTGCTGTTATTATTAATTTTACTGTTAATATTATTATTATAGTTATGGTTCAATTTTTCTTTTATTAAAATTGATTGGACCAATTAAATTTTCGCCAAAGTTTAATTAGCAGTGTGATATCATCATCATCATATGCCATATATTGTGATCGGAACAATGCGTGAATCACAATCTTCATAACCATCTTATCATCGCTGTACTTATTTCATTTTAAATAAAGTGCAATGATGACTAACTGTGATGATTATGATTATATTTTAATCATGACTATTTCTCTATTAATTAATTAATTAATTAATTAATTAACTATTGATTTTACGCATTTGATGAAAAATAAAAGATCTGTTCCCATATTCTCTAAAGATATTTCGTAAAACGTATGAAGTAATTTGAATAAAGTCATTTTCAAATCATCGAGCAACAGACAACATCTCACATTTTCAATCCACACCGAATGAAAAACAACGTTTTTCTTATCTCCTCAAATATTGCCAAGGCCCGTGTACCTGAAAGAATTTGAGTCACTTGAAGTTGAATTTGAGGATCTGTTCAGAGCCTATGTGGATAAGCACAAAAATGTGGCGTTCCTTGAAAATTTAAACAATCGATATGAGATGGTTGAACAACATTGCAAGCAGGTAAGTTTGGTAAGATTGGCTGGTTCATTAAATAGGTTGGCTGATTGGTTGGTTTGTTAGTTGGTTGGCTGGCTGGTTGGTTGGTTGGATGATTGGTTGGTTGATTGGCTGGTTGGTTGGCCGGTTGGTTGGCTGGCTGGCTGGTTGGTAGGTTGGTTGGTTAGTTGGTTGGCTGGCTGACTGATTGGTTGGTTGGTTGGTTGGTGGGCAATCTCTGATTAATCATTTGATCGGTCAATTGATTCTTTTAATTATTTAACTATTTACCAACCCATTCGTCGGACCTATTAATTTTACATGATCCTTTGAATTGTAATGGATTTATGATCGCCATCAACTACTCTCTACTTGAATAGACAGTTTAAACTCTCCCCAACGCTGGACCACACAGTATCAACAGCGTTGCAACTTGGACAGTGAAATAAACGTCTACTTATGTTTATATCAATTTTATTCAACAGAAATATCTTTAAAAAACAGTTGTGAACTATCTATGGTTTAATTATTTTTTTTATTTCTATTTATTTATTTATTTTCATAAATTATTAATATATTAGATAGCGACAAACATGGCAAAAGAGAGCATGGAGAGAGCAAGGAACAACACAGCGCCGTCCACAACTAAAAATAAATTGTTCTCAAACTCGCTGGTCAGATTTCTTATTTAGCATCTTAGTTGGAGAGGTTGAAGGGGCAGTTGCATTTGGAGATGGATAAATGTTTGGGAGGAGAGAGATGAGTAACGACGTAATAGGAAGTCAGCTTAGAAAAATTTATGTGCATGAAAAAGGAAATGTAAGGGAGTTTAGACATATACTGGTTGACAGATCGGATAATAATTAAAGTTGTATTAATGATGATGAGGAGGAAAGCTGGATGTCCCGCCAGGAATGGAATGCTGATATGAATGAACAAAGATTTGGATGGATAAAAGAAATGCTGATGACCTGAACAGTTTCTTAAGAGATTAAGGAAGATTATGGGTTGATTGATTTATTATATAATTAATCTACACCAAATTCATTTGACTGAATTTATAGCGGCATCATCATAATTACATAAAATTGTATTTTGGAAGGAACCTCCGAACAGCAAATCACGCGGGAAACGTCGCGCGGTTGATGTGCCAGCCCTAGCGACAGCGGCGACAACAACGTTAGCTGCAGCAAACCAGCCACAACATAAACAAAGCAGCGACAACTGTAGTTCAAATAGTGGCTTCTTCGCAATTTGGAACGATGAGGAAGATGAAAATGAAGATGGAGATGAAGATGGATCATTGGATGATGAAGATGGAGGTTGTGACGAGGAGTTTGATGATGACGAAGGAGATGAAAAATGTAACATCAACAACAACAGAATTGCCGCTGAAAGAATAATTAAAAACGACGACGAAGATGACGGTGCTTATTACGGTTTTGAGTTCGGAAGGAATGCTGCGATATTGATGATGACAAACAAGTTTGGCGAATGTAGTGGTTTGAACAACCTGCCGTACGTCAACAAACTTCAACGTGGAAGGCCCAAGAAGATGAACGAGTTCGATTTGTTTGGAGGGAGTGTTTTAGGCACGCCAGCACATTCTTACCACTTCTTCAAGAACAAGAGATTCGCGGGCGGTACATCCTCGATGGTTCCAGACGATTACGATGATGCCGATGACGACGATGATGATAACTTTGAATAATGGCGAACATTTATTTAGTCGACTTTTATCGACAATACTTGCTTCTCCTGAAGATTTTTTCATTATAGATTTTCATTTGCGTTATAAACAATTAAAATGTATAATTTTTCAATTAATCAAAAAATTATTTTTGCCTTATAATAAGAGTTTTTACATTAAATGTTTCTAATCTTTGTTTGCATTGAATGAAGAATGAACTACGGAGGTTAAACAAGAGCAGTTATGTAGGACTAGGAACTACAATAATGAACAAAATCTTTCCACCAAACCAGAAAAAAAACAAACGAAAGTAAAATCAATGTGTTTCCGCCCAGGCTCGAACTGAGGACCTTTCGCGTGTTAGGCGAACGTGATAACCACTACACCACGGAAACATGTGATGGAAGACTGCTTGTGAGCAGGGTCTATGAAACTAACGCAGCAAATAACTCGAGATATTTACATAAAAAAACATTTAGAACCCCATTAAATGAGCTTTACTTTCATATTTCAGGTATATATTCATCATTTTAATATTTAGAAAATATTTTTAATATGCAATGTACACCATAACTTCAAGAATGATATTAAAACCAAAACTAAATAACATACTATAATCATAATGAAAAGTAAGTTTAATAAGTTTGTCTTCGTATAACTCGGGGGTGGCCAAACTACAGCCCGCGGTCCAAAGGGCTTTGTACGTATTTTGACGAAAAATATGACAATGGCATTTTCAATCAAATCTATCAATCAACCAATCAATCAAATCGATCAATCAATCAGTCAAATCGATCTATCAATCAGTCAATCAACCAATTAAATTAATTATTCCTCAAATCTTCCTGACGATCAGTTCTTCAACATGTTCATGTCAATCAAATGCCTGATTGTCGGTCGCCCGTGTGGACAGTTCTGTGTTCATATTTCAAAGTAATTTTACTAATCAATAAATTTAAATTTATCAATTTTAATAACTTCGAAACCAGAGTTCCAAACTGGTTTAACAATCCGAATAGCCATGCAATTCGGGTTATTTTTCACGCCTCCATTATAAAATTCACATCCAAAACCATCAGAGTCGCAAGCAAGGATATAAATTTGGTAGGGGTTAGAACTAAATTGAACAAAATCTCTATATAAATTTGTAGAAATTTTGACGGCAAAATATTCCAACGTCCCTCCACAACAACAAAGTAAAGTTTGAGTTTGATCAAAACCACTAGTTATAATAGCAGAATTTCATAAAAGAAATGATGAGTGACACAGTTGCTTGAGAAAACCTGTAACAGCAACAGTAGCAACAACATTAACAACAACAACAGTAACAACAACAACAACATGAAGCACTCACCCAGGGCTGATCTATCTCTCCCATGTGGTCAACCAGCTACAAAAATAATATACCATTGAATAAGAATTATTACAACGGAGGCAGATAACGTGATTTTATAAATTATCATATATTAAGTTAATCCATTAGTCCATTGTTCAGATTACTATTGAATTGCAACCAGTACTTCGTGAATATTAATTAACCTTTCTCATTTCTGAATGGTTGAGAGCGGTGCCAATCATAACAGAGCTTCGGCAGGCTCTCGACGCCAACATCTGCCGGATGCGAGAAGGTCTGCACATGACACCCTGTTGGTTGGTTGGTGATTGGCTGATTGAAATGTTGCTAAGTGGTTAGTTGATAGGATGATTGATTGATTGAATGTAAATAATGTTGATTGGATGATTGATTGCAAATGTTGTTGATTGATTGGTTGATTATAAATGTTTTTGATTGGTTGGCTGGTTGGTTGATTGACAGATTGGTGATTGAATGAATGATCGATTGACACGGCTAATCGACTGATAGAAAAGATAAGATTACAAAATGTAAATCAGCGAGGATGTTACTAACCGGAGAGTCTGTCAACATGAATATCATTTCTTCAACATCTGGAAAAAATCAATCAATCAACCAACCAATCGATCAATCAATCGATCGATCGATCGATCAATCAAATGACCCTCTCATTCAATGAATGTAAGACGGAACGAAAAAATGATTGACACGTTGATTTCATATTGACTGGCATAATGATCGTCAATAAAAAAAAACCCTCTCATTAACTGAGGGCGAACTGGCTGGTCGATCAGCAAAAAATCAGTTGACGTATTTTCTTAATGACTGATTGATTGCGAATGATGAATGGATATTTGAATGAATGAACACGTGAATGAATGGACGAATGAATGGATGAATAAATGAATGAATGCTTGATTAAATGAACGAATGAATGAATGAATAATTGAATGAATAAATAAATGAATGAATGAATGAAAAGATAAAAAGTATGGAAAAGAATAAACGAACAACCTTGTGGACCAAACGCCCAGTTCTTACTAGTCGGCAAGCTGGTCAGTTGAACGCGTTCAGATGGACAGGCTGAATAGCATGACAAAAACCACCACACGTCACAAAACGCCACATAAAAATTTTTTTCAATCCGAGTCTAATCCAACAATATAACATAATCATAGCGAGTAAAACATTGGCACACACTAAATAGCATTAAATTACATAGCGACTTCTTTAAATTACAGGCTACATTACATTTGTGACATTGACTTTTATTACATTACATTAGATTACATTACATTAGACTACATTACATTACATTGGGTTACATTGCATTGGATTACATTACATTACAAAAGATTACATCACATCATATAACACTACATTACAAAGGGCGCCGAGCGACACCACGACGAGGTACAAACCATCCCGGTTGATGACGAACTCGAAACCATTCTTCCGAAAGATGTGAATGTTGTCGAGCAGGGTGCATTCGTTGCAGGCCGTCAACTCCAGTGCCAGTGGTCTGAAGGGTCAAAGGTTAAAGAAGTAAAAAGGTCAGTCTCTCTTTTGCACTTTCTCCAGAGGTGGTGTTGTTTGGTTTTGGTGGTAATGGTGGTTATCATCAGCAATAACATCGCCATCATCCTCTTTAAATTATCATTCTCTGCATAACAGAGTACACAAATTTCCTATATAAACTGCAACAAGTGGTGAAGGTTATTTAAAAATCGATAAAAGGTCCTATAAACTCATAAAGCATAACATACAATGCAACATACAACATGTGACATTACAAAACAACATACAACATGTAACATACAATACAACATACAACATGTGACATACAATACAACATACAACATGTGACGTTACAACACAACATACAACATGTGACATACAATACAACATACAACATGTGACATACATACATACATAAAACATGTGAAATACAATACAACATACAACATGTGACATGCAACATGTAACATGTGACATGCAACATAACAGGCAAACAACATGCAACATGTTATGACGTCTTAATCACATACATTTCAGCAATTAAGATGATCTCCACTAGGTTTTTTTACTTTCAGATCTCCCGGTTATAATTTTTACCAAGTAAATGATAGGAAAAAACAGGCAAGCCACGAAACGAAACGAAACGTTATTTAGTCTAAATAAAATACGTAACAAAAAACAGTCAAGCCACGAAACGAAACGAAACGAAACGAAACGATGTTATTTAGTCTAAATAAAAAACGCAACAACAACAGCAAGGACGACGACAGCAAGGACGCACTGGATGAGTTTCTGACTTTGGAGGGTGACAGTCCGCTGGAGTCGCTCGAAGTTGAACTTCTCGTCGGAGGCGTGTTGGTCGATAATGAAGAGGTCGTCGTCCAAGCTGCTGATGATGAAACCCATGTTGAACTGGGTGGGAGCGAAGGGATAGGTAAATGAATGAAAGAATGAGTGAATAAGTGAACGAATGAACGAACGGACGAACGAACGAATGAATGAATGAATGGAAATTTTTAAAATATTGTAAAAAGCAAAATAAATTGAAATAAAGAATGGCAAAAATAACTTGATAGAATAAAAATATGAATGAAACATTTTAAAGAACATTAAATTTCACAGAAGCACCACCCACCAACCTATCCACCACCCACCAACCTCTCCATTACCCACCAACCTCTCCACCACCCACCAACCTCTCCACCGCCCACCAACCTGCCCCAATATCTTCATCCTACTGAACTTGTCCTTACTGTTGTTGGTTGACAAAAGGCATGCAGTGGAGTTCATACGAGCATTTAATTACAACCTACACTCCATTACAACGTGCACTTCAATACAAAGTACACTACACTCCCTTAAAACGTACACTCCATTACAGTTTACACTCCATTACAACGCACTCTTCATTACAACGTACACTCCGTTACAACGTACACTTCATTACAAACATTTCATCATAACTAAAACATACATTTCGTACGTCGTCATATTTCAGTTTACTTTTTTGGCTTTTATCATACAAACATCAATAAATACTGACTTGAATTGCAAACCAACGAACGAACACGAACGAACGAATGAACAACCAAACAAGCTAACAAACTAACAAACTAACAAACAAACAGTGAAAATGCATAGACACATAACAAGCTTACTTATAATATTGGATGTATTTATATGTAAATATAGGCACA